GAATATGTGGCACTAGTTTTCGCTTAAGTATATTTTGATTTATGTAAGTCTATTAAATTCCAATCTTCATATATAAAGCCACAAAAAAAACTTAATAAGTTTTTGTCTTTCTATCAATACTTCTTCTGTTAAGTTAGCAATGCTCCGTTGAAATACTTCTTTTTCCTACACTGTTTTCCTTTACTGTCTGTTTTATACTTCGGATAGGGGTGGGGTAAATGCTCTACGACGCCTAGAAACGCCTGCTTCGTAAACCCTATACGGGATACGGAAAGTATTATTTAGACAATTGTTATATTGTAATCTAAGGTCTTGTTAAGAGCGACTTACTCCCGCCATTTGCGGCTCAATAACAGGCAAAAAAAAAAAAAAATAACGATAGATGCAATTTTCAAAATTTAGTGCTTCACGCCATGTAATAATTGGATGTGATTTCGTAGATATATTGCTCTTCACCTATGCGCTGCTTTATCCTTATGTTCCGCTGCTGGACATTTGTTTAGGAGACGCCGCTATAGTTCTCATGTAAAAATTATTGAATAGGATGGATACAAGCATACAGCATATTACGCTGAAATACTCTATGCGTGTTGTATAACACAGATATTACTACTGTTAGTCTCCTTAACAGAAACCATATATTTTGTATAAAAACTAGACTTTTATTGTAGGAAAATGACTGCCCATTATTAGTCGTACATTTTACCGCTGACCGCTTATAAAGTCATCGAGCGTTTTTCTCACCTTCGTACGAACTGAGGCCTTACTTAAAAGGTGCGTGAGTTATCAATACAATCAAGCAATAATCGAAAGGGCGCGAGGATCGTTACTAAGCCGCATCGACTAACATTTCCCAGAGACTTCGAAAATATCGCGAACCGATTTTGTAATATGATTGGTTAGACGGATGACATGTAAACAAGTGCCCCAGTGTTGCTTTTTTCGACATTCTGGCCGCCTTTTGAACAGAGAGCCGTTCAAGACGATTTGTTGTCGTTATTAGCGTCTGGCATTAACAGTTCTACGAGACTTTAATAGACCACACCCTTCTGGAGTCGCCAAATACACTGTCTCGTCTTCTTTCCATATCAATTCGATCTTGCGATAGTTGCAGATACTTTGCGCGGATTCTCCCGCGGACTGGTATTCTTAAAATAAATTCACTTTTAATCATGTCCAACAGTAAGGCACAAAAGCGATTTCCTTTCGTATCGTTCGACAGAAAAAAGTCCCGTTGGCGAATGGGCCTTTTTCGGCGCAAACTCGACTTTTTCAACGCCATTACAAACTACACTGTTTTGCTGCAAACTGAGCACCTTTGTCAGACGTCAAGAAGAGAAGATGAGACCAGTGAAGCGGTTTTACTGGAACTACATTTGCAGCTATGACTATCTTTGAACCCTTATTATTCTATTAGTAAATTCCGACATTACATTTACATACCTGGTAAACATTAATTTTTTTAGATTTGCCTGCGAAAGTGCATCTCACTTGCTGGTATTCCGAAATGATTAAGCCTTGTCTACTCTTGGAAAGCTCACTTTGACAGAAGTTAGGATGGAAAGTTAAATTTGGTACGGATAGAGTTGATAGCCACGTATCATGCTGGAAAACGGGATTTGCCCGTACTGGGCGAAAATATGTCATGTATGGTTGAAGGTAAGTATTAACATGTAGTTGTAAAGAACACACAACCGCGAAGGACGCTTAATCTTCAATGCAAGAACACAATCCATAAGTTTTACAGTTCTACAAACAATACCGAACTAAAAATTGGTACAAACGTCATAAAATTTGCTTTCTGGGAACCACCCAAGTGTGACTTAAAAAATGATCGATTGACACGCCAACAATAACAAAGTACTTTAATGTATTAATTTGTGTTGGATGCACTAAGGGTAACTTTTTGCACATCTGATAATTTACTTAAGTAAATAGGAATACAAGTATGATTTAATCTGGGGCCAGTTTGCGGTTACCAATAACGACTACGCGCATTTGTCCTCTTTGCGTTTAGGCTTACCGCGATCTCACGATTATAGCGTTGATGCTTCAAGTAGTGAGTGTACGGCAGCGGATAGGGTATGCAAAGCACCGGAAAAGTTTTCTGACCATTAAGTTGCTATCCCGTAGCATATTGGAAGGGAAAATAACGTCAAAGTATTGTTACGAAATACACCTGTTTGATCCAAATAATAGATAACGCTCGATGTTTATTTCTATCTACTAGTGCCCTAAAGTAAAATGCACTGCTAAAGAGAAATTACCAAAAAACCTGTTGGAACAGATTGAGAGAAAAGAGCCAAAGATTTTAAATAAGCAATGATGTAGGATGATGTGTTTTAATATACTAAACTTTGTTTAATGGGTTTTCTTAATTTTCATCCAACTGTGCTCCTGTGCTGTGTCGACCATTGTTATGCGAGGCACTTCTAATTTCATACAATGGCAGGGTGGAGCAGTACAAGCGTTTGCAATGTTCAGAGTGTTAGCAGAACATTGCAGTAGGGTCTTCTTTTTTCATTGCATAAGATTTTCCATCCTCCTCTTAAAACGCCTACAGTCTGTACTATTATTGAACGAGCTTTCGAGTGCGCTTCATTAAATGCCCCTTTGTAGTCGATTCGGTGAAACCGTTCCTGTAAGGTGTAACACGATGGCTCCAAATCTTAACCTGAATCACCTGAGCCATTACATTATAAATGTTATATACCTTTAAATATGTATGCCACCAAATATGTATTCGTATACATTAATTACTTAATAATCAAAAATTCCGAAACGCGGAGGGAAAATCTTAGCACCCATTGTTTCATTTTAAATGGGATTGAATTATTTATTTGTATCTTTTGCATAGTTAAGTTAAACGTTTAAATCAACTTACTTTCTTTCGTTTATCCTTAGATGAATGAAAAATTATTTGTTTAGTTTCCTTTTTTCCTTACTTGGTTGTTTGCTTTCTTTCTTCTTTTTCTTCGCATTCGTTTGAATGTATCTTGTTATTCATACACTAATAACATCATAAATTTTCCATTGCTTTTGCCGTGATGGAAATAGTTTTCTCGATTCGTTAGGGTCCAGTTGACTGAACTCACAAAACGATACTATCGAAAATGGCCGTCAAATTTAGTACGTACTCGATATCGAGAACGACTTGAGACATCTCGTATTTGCTTTTCCGCAAGCGTGCCTTTACGTGCCCACAAAGTGCATGAGATATCTTGAACGCCGCAACGAAAGTGTCCAGTTCTATAAGTGCAGATTGAAAGCCCGATCACAGAGTACGCAGTCATCATCATGGAAAACATGTGCAAATCTATAGCTAGCAGAAGCATCACCACAGCTGTGCGCTAGCATCTGCTGACGTCTTCTGTTCTCCCTTCGAAGTAAAAGTGAATGTTTCACCTACAAACTCCTAACACAAGCGTTTATGCGAACTCGTTTACGCCATAAAATGAAAACTATTCCAACAACAAAGATCTTTTCTTTTTTATTTGTGAATACATTTCTTGGAACAGACCGGCGGAGACGCGGACAGATTAATATCCCAAGTATGGATACCCCATCACTTTAATTCGTTTTACTTCTTACTACTCTAATCCATTTAATTTCAAGGACAAATCTTCGTATATCTAATGCTTTACTAAAATGATTTCTCAAGTGCGTTTCAAGTTCGGCTACTAAGTGCCACGGGGTCACAAGTAATTATCAACGATAATCAATTTGCTTCACGTGCAGAGAGAGAGAGAGAGAGAGAGAGAGAGAGAGCAACCCGTTCGAATATTGGTTTTTAATAAATTTCAAATCGTAAATCACTTCCTTCGCCATATAGCGACCAATTTTCCACCCAAGCTTCCTATGCTTCTACATTCTTCTCTCCCAATCCAATTAAAAATAAATTTAAAGCAACAAAAATTTAATTACACTCAATTACTTTATTATTGATAAATTCTAAATTAAGTTATTGTGAACACTTTAATAGTTACATACATACATTTAGGTTTGTATACGGCGTACGTGTTGTCTGCTTTTTCCCCCTTTTCTTCTTTTAAGTTCTAATGTTATGTTTAAATAAAAACTTTGAGCACAAACAAAAAGTTAAGTGCTTTTCACTTATACATATTTTTGTTGTATGAAAATTTTAAAATTAGTTAGAAACAAAAAAAAAAAAAACAACTGTAAGAAAAGCTAAATAATGAATAAAGTTGGGAAAAAGGTAAAGGTAAATAGAGAGATAGTGTGTGAGAAGTATAAAGTAAATAGAACACGTTTGTTAACATACATCAGAAACAAGCCAAATACTAAAATCATTGTAAACTTGAAATAGGATGAGAAATTAATGCAGGAACAAGACCAGAGACAGACTAGCAGAAAATTGTTATGCACTTAACGTTAACATGCGTCCGCCGGTGTGCATGGATGTGCTTAACAAAAAGACTCATACATGTGTAAACATATGCTGTTCTGCATACATGTATACCTAACGCTATTGAGCGTTTTGAGGCAAGTCGTAGCAGCGGCCATAATACAAATTCGTAAAAAAAAAAAAAGGAAAACCTATAACCATGTTTGGCTTCGTAAAGGAAAGTTTTGGCAATACAGGGGCAAAATTCTGGTGATGGTGATGAGATGACTATAAAGTTTTAAATTGTTTATCAGTAAAACATTAACACGCCATTCATAAATGAATTGAGCGAAGCTTGTTCGCCTACCAGCAGGACCATAACTACATCCACGTGTATCTCTCTTGAATGCTTCCGAGCATCGGCCTGCATTGTAACGTATTAATAATAGAAACAAACATTAACATTGTTTTGTAAAGATTTTTTATATATACATATATATGTATATACGAAACGGCAAACTGATCGTTGAACGAATAATAGCTGTGGGTATAGTTAACATAATTGTGGTATGTATGCTTGCTATGTAGGTGCAGTTGTATGGATTATGCAGAGGACGTGTTAAATTTTCAAAATTTTTTACTCCTTTTTTTCTTCTTTTTTTTTTTTTGAAAAGCATAAGGAACACTAAAGCTCTCTTTTCGTGTATGTGGGTGCAGTATTGTTTGAAAAATTGCGGTTATATGATATGTGGGCAGTCAGTATAAAGTCACATACGAAGAGCTTAACATACACATAGTTATACTATTATTGTCACCGGAAGCAAATTCTCAGCTGTAAAAGAAAAAGCAATAGTTGCCGTAAGGTAATGAAGATGCCATTGACGATGATGATGGTGATAATAATGATGATAACGTTGATGATAAAGATGATAACATGTTTATTCCTCAATGGTGCATAAAGTTGTATGAGGGCGTGTAGGATAACTAGATGCCAGTGTTGCTGTTGTTGTCCCCGTTACAACTGTTACCGAGTTATCAACTTTTGCTGAGCTCAACAAACTAGTAGTCGAGTTGTTGCCAGTGCTGGCGCTTTTAAAGTTACTTCTTATTGTAGCGTATGGACTGTTCGTAATACCTGCTTTCTCTTTAGTTACTCGGTAGTGTTGGTATTGTCGTTGTTGTTGTTGCTGTTGTTGTTGCTGTTGTTGTTGTTGCTGCTGCTGCTGCTGCTTTTTATTGTGATTTGTGTAATGTACATAAATACCAGCATCACGCAACTTCCGGTATAATGATATATATTTGCCCGCTGTGGTAGTACGAGGAACAATAAACGTTTCACAGAATGCCGTTTTACTATTTGCCGCCTCACTCAGCTTGTCATAGCCCAATGCCTGCAGGAAGGTCAACACGAACGTATAGCAATTGTGTTGTTCTTCGTGATAGTGTGACACTGTCCACTTGTCCGGCTGTTGACAAACCTACAAAACAATATACATAAGCAACAAATGCAAAAAATGAAATGTATCAAGTGACCATAAGTTTCTATATAGAGGGACTTATGCTCAGCTTTATGTGGGATTTCTAAGTTGACGCAAAAGCAAACATGAGAGCACAATACAAAAAGATATTAAAGTGAATGTAGGGTATAATTAAAAAAATAAACTCTCAAATGCTGGCCTTCCTTTTAAAGTAGAGACAAGTACGGCTCGAAAACTTGTCTAAGCTTTTGCTTTTGCAATTGTGTTGTGTGCATTTCAATTTTATCAGGGCTCATTGTTATACCCGGCAAACTACACAGGCGAACGTAAAGAAGTGGTCGAGATACATGAGAAGGTTTTCTCTTTCTCGTCTTTTTTTTTCTTTTTGTTACAGATGTAATAGTAACATGGCAGATGAAGCAGAAGAAAACCATCAAATATTCTATGGTGTAAATATTTTTTGTTCTCAAGTACATAGAGTTTATTGCAGGTTGCACCCTAGCCTCTCACAAAGTACTAGTATAATTTGCGGAAATGATTATAGATTATTAGGGGTCTGCGAAGCGATTCTCTCTCTACCTTGACAGCTACGTGCGGCTGTACTTGGGTGAGCAAGTGGGTTACTCACATTTGCAATCGCATTGCAAATGAACGCTTGATCTATGTAGAAAGACAAAACAATTGGGTAGAGCTTGTTCTTATCAGCGAAGGTGACGAAGACAATTTTTCTGCCAATTTCAAAGAAGCCATTTCACACGCATTATTTACTCCGTGCGAAGATAGTATTGTAATATTTACAGAGCAACATATATCATGTCAACTAATACAGACAATGATCAATCAACTTGTCGAAATATTTTTGCACATATTTTCTGAAAGCATTTTGAAGTCTGTTCAGCAATTGTCCTTAAAGCATTAACCCGCTCACAAATGTTTCGAGAAAATCCTGATAATGAAGCTGTAACTAATAAAGCAAGCGGCAGAACCGCATTCCAGTGACAACGTACAAGTGAAATTTGTTTAATCAGACAACAATTGGAAAATCCTTATCCCATTGTATCTGTTTACTATTATTTCGAATTCTTTCTTCCCTTTAGCTCCGGCTGATGCTAAAGATGAGCATCAGAACAATATTTTGAGATAATTAAGCCACATTTGCCTGCTCGCCCAAACGCCTATTCATGTGTTTGTCGTTTCTTGTTTGATTGCACAGGATCACAAACATTTGGAAGATGACATAACTCACATCTCATGCGATTCGTTACTCATTTATGTATTAAAGACTCTTGTTCAACTGTTCTTCAGTGAGAAAATAATCATTCGGAGCAGCGTTAGGCAACCGCGACGTTTATAGAACAACATTAGTTTCAATTTTGTTAAACACTTTGCTTAGGTGCATTCTCGTGAAGCGAAACCAAGTAAGAATAGACCAAAGTATGAATAGACTCACATCGATGACATTAAAAGCTTAGATAGTTTCGTTTACGTTTGATTCGCAGGAAGAAACTTCTTGTGAACATGCAACCATGACAATCCAAGAAAACAAACAACATCGAAGTCGAGGGAATAGGTTACTACTTGCATCATTACTTTCATTTGTTTCATGGTAAAGTTGATAAATTGCGTCAATGAACTACCGCTAATCTTCAATTTTCGCAGTTGTCCGTCCAGAAACTTTCGATTTAGAAAAGCTTAGTCAATGCAGCTTCAATTATGAACTTTTTACATTACTTTAGATGCCAATCTCTTTATAGGATTCCTTATGTTCCATTAAGATAACTCTTTCTTAAACCGATAATGCCCACGTTATGCATAAATTAAAAACTGTAAATTTTCGTTATCGCGTTACGATTCGCCTGTACACTAAATGATGTCGCTATGTATTCGTCATGTTTTGGATCGCTTAGACGATGTATATGATCTTTGAGGGCGCTTTCTCGATCAAGAATATATTAGAGTCGAGATAGACTAGCCTTTTACTATACTGATAGATTCTGTATTGCTCTAAGCTTGTCCGTCCGTCCGTTCATTTTGTTGTTTTATGTTCAGTCTACAGCCCACAATTTTTCAGTTATTTTAATTCAATTCGGTATATAGACATGGCTTGATCCCATGACGAACGCTATTGCAAATGATTCGGATCGGATCAATTTTTCGATCAAGCCCCATGCAACGCCTGATTTAGAAAGATCGTTAGATGGGAAAAATTGCAATTTTCAACAGTTACCGATAATAGTCGCCGCGTAATAGTATTTCGACATTTCAAATTGGTATGGAAAATTTGCTTCGGCTGGGGCAACTTTTAGAACCCGCTCTCATATAGCCGAAGAGAACTTATAAGCGAAAAAAATCTGATTTTCAATGTGAAAAATGGTTCATAATAGTTAATTGGCATGGCAACCAACAGTGCCGAATTTGGACCATGTAGGTCTATTTTTTTGATAGGTAAATGTTTTATGATACATGCTTGACATAAATATGCACCAAGCTTGAACCATGCGGATCCACTTCTTGGACAACCACTCCATATATAAGATTTCTCATGAACAGTAAGCCCTTCAGAATTAATTTTTAATATTTTATGACGCAAGCGAATTTGAATCACATAGATTTATTTCTTAGACCCTAACATTTTTTCCTTATGACGGAAACTGCAAAATAATAAAGTTCTTACGAAGTAAATTAAGTTTGCCAGTTTTGGGCATCCTCCAAGTACGCCTTTGCTTAAAAGTAATGTACAATTTTTGTTGCATGATTACCAAAACCAGTGAATAACTGCACTAGAAGTAGCGGTGTGGGGCATCGAATGGTCGGCCTTACCTTACTATAGGATACTTGCTTGCTTTAAAATATCATTACATGAATAAATACATTAAGCGATGAGGTGTAAGGTACTTAAAGGAGGGTCGTGCCCCACTGTAGTGATTTTACTTACTTCTTTTTTTTTCCCGCTAATTTATTTACATATTCATACATATATTGTGTAGTTTTAAGACTCTTTCTCCTATTTTTAACTTTAATTAGCTTAAGCATTATTTAATTTATTTAATTATGTTATTGAATAAATAAATAAGGAACAGGCAACTTGTCCACGTGATTTGAACGTTAAACTTGCTTTGATACGGTTTTTTCGATTCCTGTTCAACTTTAGCCCAACGGTCCTTGCATTATTGAGCTGTTCCCCGACCGAAAGCATAAATCTATATCTTAGTTTCAGTAATTGTGCAAGTCGTGTCATCATTATTGATGCAAATCATCGCTACGGCGCCATGGATACGATATTGTGCTTAAAAACACACACTGACTCGTTTGACAGCAAGGAAGGCAAACAAACAAAGCAATTGCGAAACGTTATTTAATATTGATTGAATTGTTGAAATTCATATTCCATTTAATTGGTGGTTGCTGAGTGCATAATCCTCGATCTTGCTGATATTTTCATCAGTGAAGGAGGTTAATGGTCGTGCCAGACGTGCGCCGAGGTTCAACTGTTTCTCTTCGCGTCACTTAAAACCCTTTTAACACTTAAATGCATCGGCCAATTAATTTCACTTTTTAAAAAGAATTCCATAGGATTTCGCCCGTTTTAAACTTGAAGAACTTGCTAGAGTCCTTCAGACGTATTACTCTAAAGCTTGCCTTCAAAAATTCGCTTAATTCGAGGAGATGAAGATCAACAATGACTCTGTAGTAGTAATTAAGTACGAAAGCTTTTTGTTCGTCGTGAAGTGAGCATGTGATATATATCGTTCTTTGTATAGGTTTTGGTGATAATGACCGATGTTACACTTCAATGTTGTTTCAAAACCATTGTGGTGCTTGCTGTAAGTTGTCGGTTAATGACGCGATTGAAGACGTGTTAGCGGCTTTCTGTTTGAATTTTTGCAGTTACGGGCGCTTGCAGGATAGTTTCCAATCAAAGGAAGAGAGAAGACATTTTTTCCCAATTTCTATGTATCTACACACTTTGCTGCTAAGTCTGCACAATTTTCCTTACGACGATCCGATCACATGAACTCGCCTCCATAACATTTGAAATAGTTATCCACGGATATTATTATTTTTTTTTTTTTTTTGGCATTACATATTTAATTTACAACCAGTTCAAAAAGTTAACAAGAGAATGTAGTGGCAAGTTGAAGAAATGAATAGTGATATTTATCACCGTACAATGACGATGAAGAAAATCTCTTCTTCTCTGAGTACAACTTCCAACTTAAGGAATAAAAAAATCGCTTGAGGTAAGATCTACTGAACAAGGGAGAGGGCTAAGCAATTTCTACAGTAAATCGTAAATCGTAATTATTCACCATGGCAACCGTTGAGATGGGAGCCGGCACCTTGTCCTGCCGCAAGTGTGTATATCCCTTTTCTTGCATTTCTCACTTCACCTGTTGAATTAACGATACATAATACGCTCCTATATTGGTTTTTACTCTTTCAAGATTATCGCTTAAGATAACCCCATGGCTATCGCCAACCGAAGAAAAACCCTTTGTTTTTTTTGGGCACTTTCGGTCCTTTCTTCGCACTTAATCATTTCGACTCTTATTTTTGTCTCTGTAGTGTAGGGTTATGCTTGCAATAATTAGCTGACGCCGAAACTATAATTTTTTTATTTTGAGCTGCGCCAACAGACGTTTGGAAATCTGCGCTTGGACAGGTGTACGGTCTAATGTGAGCAAAAGCAGGATCCATCATGCGATCAAGTTCTTATGCCTAAATCTTGATTCAATATATGATAGATATGTTCTTGGGGTACGTTGAGGGCCTCGATGTTTTCTATTTTCACCAAAACACTCTCTTCGATGTATGCAGACGATGATCAAGGTTCATTAGCTCATCCGGAATGACCGAGATTTTGGTAAGCACAAATCAAAGCTTGCGGCAACGTATTACCCAACTTTTGCATGGAAGTGCTGCCATCTTCGTGTTCAGCTCGAAAGCTCTTTAGCTCAACCTATCTACATTTTAATCTTCATTTGAGCAAGAATGCTTTCATATTCACGAATCTGACGCTGGTCAAGGAAAGCGTTTCTAAAGAATCCATGTACGGACATTTCTTTACATTTCATACGATACGCAATATTAGTAGAAAATCAATTTAAAGGCTTAAAAGCGTGGTAGTAACTTTGCTTTTATAATGGCATCAAGTTTTTCAAAGATTACTATTCCGTTTATATTTTTACAAGAGCAATAATAACCTTGAGGAGATATGCAAACGATTTATCTTTGATTTGTTTGTATGGGATATGTAGTAGTTTTTTATGTTTTTAGTTTTTTTTTTTTTTTTGGTCTTACCTGTAGTAATATTTGATCCCAGTAGTCATACCAAGGCTCGGGTACATCACCCACCAACAAACATTGCCACCATTCGGATAGATTGTCGATGCGATGACGACGCAAGCCATAGCGATCAAATTCAACAACGCAACCGGTCGATGTTGTGACAGCAATATGCAAATCTGTGGAATTATTATAATCACTGGAAGGTATGTGTATAAAAAATCAACAGAAAAAACAAAAGATTTTAAGCATTAAAGAAAAAATGGGAAAAACTTTAAAAAAGAGTTTTAAAGGCAAAAAAAAAAACAAAATTTCTTTCTATGAACATCATTTTGCTTACGTAAGAATGAGTGTGTTCTATAAAATATTCGTTTTTCACTCACTTCAAGAAATCACCTATGGTAGGTCGTAAAATAATTGCACAAGGGTACTGACTGGCTCGTATAAACGGATAGGGCAAACGAAATGGTAGCAATCGACTGGACATCAGTTGTGCAGCAATGCCTTCATTTGCATAAGATTTATGCTCGGTATCTACATTTTCGTCTTCCACATCGTCAATGGTTTCATGAGCAACGTAAGCATCATTATTGTTATTATTGTTATTGTTTTTATTATTGTTCTGAACAAGAGTGTTCTTGTTCTTATTATGTTTTGGTCTTCCACTGGGATCTGTATCCAATTCGATTTTACATTGCGGACATTGATGAGGTAAAATGAAACAGAACACTTTTACGGTGCAATGATGGAAACACAAAATGCCCGGATCTGAGGTAACTGTGGCCTTTCTTGTTGTTGCTGTTGTGGCTGCTTTTGCAGATGTCATTGTGTTTAAGGAAGTTGTTCTTATCGTCTTTATTAAGCAACTATTCGTTGCTTGGACAGGTGCTGTTGCTGCATTTGTAGCTGTCAACATGTTGTTTGTCCGACGTTGTAAAACCGTTATTGTTGGCTGCGGTGACTATAATCTGCAATTTTAAACGTAAAATTCTTATAAATTTACATTATTACCAAATGATTGCTATCTTAACTTAGTTGCACAAATAATCCCTACGGAGGCTCATTAAACGAAAGCTTCCATTCCACGATATGCCTGCGGAGATATTTTTACATTTTATTCTGTCTCATAAAATCAGTTTTATTCTCTCTTTAAATAACAACATTCCCGCTATGCCGTACCTTTCGTACTCGCAGCTATAATCTTGTATTCCTTTAGAAGATTTCGTTTATAGTGTATTCGGCTTAGAATGCCATTATAATACATACACATGCAATCGACCTGTTTTTGCATGTTTGGTATTTGGCTAACATTGTATGCTTTGCCTTTTGATATTAACATTGCGTGTTGTTGTCAATTTTACCGTCGCTTCTACATAAGCTGAAACCATATACGATTGTGGTATAAGCATATTGAGCACTTATACTTGGGTGTAACCACGTGCCGGCTCAAGCATCTCAAGCATTAAGGATGTATATATATATATATATACATGGGTGTACGCGTACAGATGAGTTTAAAAACACATTCATATAAATGGCGATTAAGTTTGATTTACATCGAATCTTTTGTATGCAAAAATATTTTGTGTATTTATGCGGGCCTCAATAACATAGTTAATATTACAATTTGGCTATAACATATATATACATATATATATGTATGTATTGGTGAATGTAGTCTTTTTTCCATAGAAATTCTTTATATCGATTTGTTTCCGGCCAGTTCTAAAAACGTTCAGCACAATTGACAAAGCATTCTTTATAAATGATTGCTTTGGAGATTATGATCGATCATTGCTTTGCTGCCTTTAACTAGCATATACATATATGAAGCATTCTCCCAGTTAAGGCTTAAGCATTTGAATACATTGTGTACTTATGCAAATATCCAGAAATTAGTTATAAGTTTTGGAAGCATGTATAATACATAAATGAACTAATTTGCATGTGTGCACATCTATATTCATTTATTAAAGAGTCTTAACTTGTTCGTTGGCTTGAGCTTCGTTTCATTTCGATAAATATGTTAACAATATCGATACGCTCAAGGATCCAAGCATATGTGTTTCAGTTCAGAACGAACATTGATGCAATTCAATGGAATAATTAAGAAGAGAAAAAGTGTATTCTATATATTAAAGGATTTCGCAAATTTTTGTAAAATGAAAAGTGAAAGTGTACTTATGGAAGCAAAGCAAATTTTCGTTTTATCGAAAGTATAAACCAAAATACCGTTCTCTGTGCTTATCTCAAATGCAAGCAGATCTAATAAAAAGTGGAAATATAAACAAAATTGGAAGCACTATACAAGATCTCATTGACAAGAAGGCGCAGCATCTTTCAAAGCAAATAATAAATCCGTTGATACCAACACGTTTTTCTTGTAATTTTTTAATTAACATATGTTAGCGAAGCAGATGCTCCGCCGCATAATATGATGTACACCATAGGCGGTTTCTATATATGTTTATGCCGTCACAGTATAATTCTTATTCATATATAACCAATTTATTAATAAAACACAACTATTAACACACCACATACATACATACGCATATATTACACATTAACTCAAATTAATATAACACATTCTTCTGCTACATCCAATGCACACACACTAGCGTAGTTTAGACATTCTCTGTATGTAAGCCTATGTGCAAGCATACGGTACTTATGAAGCACAACACGGTAGAAAATATGCGATTTTGATGTAACACGATCTCAAAGAATCGAATATGTGTTCCGTTGGATTCTTTTCAATTGCTTCTTGCTTTTATTTTCTTTTTGTCCTTAAGAAAAGGACTTTCAACTTCTTTCAGAAAAAAAACACATTAGTTGCAAATTTTGATGAAAATTAATTTTATGATCGTCATTATTATTTTTTGAAATATATTTTTATAGCCCATTTTCCGGTTGCGGTATATATATATATATTTAGTTGTTTTGGATGTATGCAATACCCAGTGGGACTTGAAATAGACCCTTCATCTTTTGTTACACTGAGCGATTCAGAAAGTTGTTTTCGAAGCTAGTTTGTCCGTCTTTCCGTCTTGTTTTCTTTTGTTCAATCTACAGTAAATTTTGAAATATTTTGATGAAATTTAGTAGACCGACATGTTTTGGCCCAACGACGAACGTTACTGAAAATGGTTCGGAGCGGATCACTTTTTCAATCGCTTCCTGTATAGCGTCTTCTATTGAAAAGTCATCAAGTGAATAGATGTCGGTCGTGCCCCACAGTAACGTTTTTACTATATTGCATTCAGGATCACTTTCTGAATCGGTCGGGATAATAAAATGTAAATCTGCCTCAAGCTCTTATATTAAAGCTGCTATAGTCGACTTTACTATTGTGCAGGCTGGTGGTGCTATCCCAGCTTTGCAAAAATCGAATATAAGTACACCAATACGACGAAATGGTTGGTAGTATAATTTTAAACACTGGACATGGCGCAATGAAGAAAACAATTATAATTTTCTTAAAAAAAAACTAGCCTACCTATATCTTCTTACCAGTCACAGCACTTTTATTAACAATATTAGCCATTATTTTCAATTTAGGTCGTTTGCAATTATAAGTGGACGCACATGAAGATGTAAAGCCAGGAAAGTTGCTTCTTTTGTTTTTAAACAATATTATCAGCTTATAGTATCAAAATGGATTACTGGAAAAATCGGAACACATTTTTTGTCGCTGTTGCGTCACTTTAATTGTTCATTACTTCTTAATTGTCTTCAATACAACAATTCCGCAATCCGTTTGCAATTCCGATACGTGTCGTTTATGCTTGAATACATGGCTTTTCGCTTGTATGTTTTCCTATCAATTACAACATCATTTTACACTGCAATGCTTTTTAAGTAATTGCCATGACTCTTCAACAGGTCGTACGTCCTATTTTGGTAAGGGTTGTTGTTATATATATATATATTTTTTTTTTGTATAGGAATTTATTTTACGTTTCATGATCGAGGCTTAGTTGTCATTCACGAAATTTTTAATCCCAGCTATAGCACGTATGCGTGTTAATGTTAATTTTCTCACGAATTTCCCTCCAAAGACAAATCTGTTTGATAAATCTCGAGTATCAAAAATCCAAGCTAAACCAAACGGTTATTTATTTTCCTGCTTTTATTTAATTCCACTAAATTTTTTTTTTTTTTTTGTTTCTTTTTAAATATTCAATATAGCAAGAATTCTAATTCTTGCTTTTATTCAAAATTTACAGTTCAATTTATCGTTCCGAAAAGTCAAACTCACTCTTAAACTCTATTTTCCAATTTTTTTAACACAAAAAAAACAAAAATTAAGTATGCGTGTCTTACACGAGAAATAGCGTAATTTGCAACCGAGTTATTCAAATTTCAAATCATTAATTTTTTTTTATATCTTCTTTGTACAACTGGCAACACAAACTTTCAACTTGTTTCCGCATTAAGGTATAACAAAACGAACACTCTTGTTCCCTTCAGATTTCTAGCTTTTTTTTTTGTTTTTTAGCAGACATGCCTACATTTCAAGCATGGCCTATCAATGCTTTTTCAATATGATCAGTAAAAGTAGTCGTTGAATTTAACACTACCGGTACACGATTGCATTTGTTAAGAATGTTACGAAATAAATATCAAATGTTACAGGATTTGGGATAGACACACCTTTTATCATGCCGATTGATTGAGAAAGTGATTCTGGATTGATTTAAGCTTGTCCGTCCATCTGTCTGTCCCTCTTGTTTTTTGTGGTCAACCTACACAATTTGTAAAAAGTTTTCATGAAATTCAGTACACTGACGTGATTCGACCCAAGGATGAACGGTTATTGAAAATGGTTGGGACTGGCATCGGACCGCTTCTCGCATAACACCTTATCTTGAAAAGTCGTCTGATGAGTAACTGTAGGATGGTGTAAGGTATTTAATAGTGGACCGCCACCCTCTATGGTAGTTTTGCTTCTTCTTTTTTTTAATTAAAAAATACAAATACATTTACATATCGATTCATTGGAATAACTTCATTTTCAAATAGACTTAAATACATAGCGGAATAATAATGGAAAGGGAGAAGTTATGGTAGCTTCCTGCAGCATTTTTTATATCACTGCACGTTTTCGTAGAAGCGAGCAAAAGCTGCGGTAAATGATGATAATAATATTGTTGCGAAATTCGCTTTTCTATTATGTAAGACTAGTACCACTAGATCACGAATATTGTTTTGAAGAGAAATAGTCTTCAAAATTCTTTTATTTACAATTATATTCCTTAACAGTAGGATTATTCACAATTTATTTTGCTACTAGTCTCGACACCAATGTTCTTGTCCGACTCAATCTGCCTTCTGTTTATATACATTTTTATAAGCATATTCATGGCTTCATTTTTAATCCGGCCGGCAGCTGCATGACGAGCCGCTAATGTGCATTTGGTTTTCCCCTCTCTAGGGAGTTCATTATTCGGGCAAATTAATTATTCGGAATGCGCTGGATTTAGGATTTCCGTAACAATATATTTTTTCTCTTATTACGTTATCGGTATCGTCCGTATAGATGTACAATATATGCATCACTTTTGATCGTGAACATTCTAAATATGTCCTTTGAAAAATTGTGTTTAATTTTGCAAACATTTTCATCTCTCAGCACCAGTCACCCAGACAAATGCGTCAAGATCTTATGCGATTGCTCACGGATACAAACCAATCATACGTTTCAAGTTCTTGTGTGTTTCAAATTTTTAAATATGTCCCTTAAAAAGTTATGTTACGCATTCTTATGACGTTCGTTGCTTGCATTTAGTTGCATATGGCAGATTGAAGCTTAGACGTTAGACAAACTAATGAAGAGAAAATTGTTGTGGAAAAATGCATGAAATTATGAATTGTCCTAAAAACATTTCAAAACAATAACTTTAATTACAGACCGTATTTTGCATACGTTAGCGATAGTTCTGTTATTTTTAAAATAAACTTCAAGAGAAAAATTCGCAAGGACTCTCACATGAAAGAGACGAGTCGACGACGAGTGATAAATTACATCACATGCATATCAATACAGACATTAAAACAAAAAAAAACAGAAGAAGATAAATAAGCCGGCATTGTACGTTGGAGAACAAAAACAAAAATGTAAACAAACCGGTAAATTTTTCAAATAAATATCATAAAGAGCGCCGACTCACCATGTGCGGCTCTTCGTTGTAAACAAAAAGAGTAGAAATTCTTGAAAGTGTGAGAGAGAGGAAGCATACGAGTTCTCAAATATTCAACTTGAATGCTTTACATAATCTGTTGAAAATTAAAAGGTTTTTAGCAGAGTGATGAATGATAAACTGTTAACAGGGGTTGCTACAAAATGTTGCACCCTTGACGCAATAGTTTTTGACGAGCAACGGTTGCAAACGGTCGTGTGTTTAAAAAGTGAAGCAAAAAATTCGACTAAAGAAAAAGAAGCAAAAATTTCAAAAAAAAAAAAATAAAACAATTCACACACAATCACGGCAGGCATTTTCTAGGCTCTAAACTTTTAAAGCAAAAAATTAATTGAAATTAATTTAGAAATAAAATATTTACTATATTCCATAAGTAAAATATAGTAATTTTTGGTGGGTAAAAGGGTAAAAGAAATGAAAACAAAAACTCTCGTTATTTAATGAGGATAATAGCAATGTTTTCATGAAAGCAGGAGCATGTGTAACGAAACGCAACATATAACACAACTTGATGTTGTCGCGGTGCAATAAGTATAAGTAAAGCAAAAAAACAAAAAAAAAAAAAAAAAAAAAACTGAAATTAAAAAGAAACATAAACCAAACAAGACCTTTGAAAAAGGAGTGGTATCGTATCTTTCGTCAAGGCGTTAAGTACATGCACACAATGCAAATATATATATATGTTAAGTGAAATACTACTAAGTATTGCGAAAAGAATTTTTAAATTTACAAAATTGTTGCGGAAAATTATTATGAAACAAAAAGAAAACAAAATTATCGGGAAAATGCTTAAAGCGTATGCCAGTCTGCTGCCATAAATACAATAAATCTTATGAAATATTCATGTGCGTGCGTTGCTCTGACACATCAAGCACTAAATTTGCATATGCGGTGTGAGTGCCAAGCCTGTCAAGTTATAGTGTTGTCAGAGATTGTGTTGTTGTATGTTGTGTATGATGTCAATTATTGAAATTTTTAAATACTTCTGACTGTTTATTTTTTGTATTTATCTTATTTTCCCATTTTACGTTTAATTCTTTCGAAGGGGGAAAAAAGAAGAAAACACTTCTTAACCAATTTCCCCGATATTTTCCTTTCATTTATTTTTCAGTTTATTTTTACTTTTTTCATTTTTTTTTTTTTTCGCTTTTAGTTCGCGTGCTGAGTTATTATTGCCTACGCATACACTTACATACTCGACGAACAGACAACGGTTTACAGGCCTTATAAAATATTTATTTATTTTTTTGTTATGTCAGCCTAGTTACTCCTAGTGATGATGTATTGTGTTTGTGTGTGTTCATATTCTGTACGTGTTTTGTTTAATAAAAAATAAAAAAGAAAAAAAAAAAAATAATAGAAAAAAAAGGAAACATAAAGGTTCGCTTGGCAACCTTGTTATTAAACTCTGCTTTCGCTTAAAAGAATCCACTTATAAAAGGATAACAAAAGGATAACGACCTAAAACATGCCCAAGTAAGTGAAATAACGTTAATTACGTTTTCGTTTAAAACCACTTCGAATTTCTACTTAAATCAAAGACGTATAAATTAATTTTAAAACTTGTAGCATAAAATATTTAATAAATTTTTAACCTCTTAGCTTTAAAGTTTGCTTACTTAACCCAGCTCAAGTGCCTGATATTTGTAGGACATTACATGTCATTATAGTCTGAAGAAGATTATCTTTGTACCATGATTTTCAAGCCATATTTTCGGTTCGCCGGAAACAATACACACGATCGCGCAAACATAAATCTGAAATACTTTTCCTTCCGTACAAGGCATGAATAAAAATTTTTAAGTAAACGCATGTGAAGCTAATATATGGAAATGCTTACCATTCTATGTTTGCAAACATTTCCTCACGGCATGACAGATCCAATTTTCATGGAACACAACGAATCAGGGGTCGTTTTACCGTTTCCGATATCGAATTTTGCAATTTGGTCTAATAGTTCACATTTATGAGAACTGAGTTGACGGTAATCGACAGTGTATGAGTGTTTACTCAATAACGAACCCAAAAAGCCCCATTTTAACACGAAAGCAAAGTTGATTTCAAAACGAAAATAAAGTAAAATATCGTTGCGGAACCATATGCATATTTGACAAATTTAATGGACTTGGAAAGCTTACTTAATCTCAGCAATTCCAAAATGTTGGAAAAACAAAATAAATATTTATTTTTGATGCTCTTACCTGTTGGTGCCATATTAGGTGAAAACGAATAAACGAATATAGAATAAACGAATATAGAATTAAGGGAAACCCGGTTCGAATGATATAAAGTTAAAATATAGGATTATCAGAAGCTAAGTAAGTGCTTTGGAAGTGCTTTGTGTCTAGTTGGGCGATATCAGGCCAGTTCGGGCAAGGGGGAGAATTTTCATTTAATTAAATAGGAACCTTGTAGAAACTTATTCTCGGGGTGCCATGGAAAGAGGGTTACTGATATGCCTTAATATTCTCCGTTGGGTGTTCGCAAGACTCTCATCCGCAATTGCTTCTCTACGCAGACTTGTGTCCAGCGATAGAAACAGTCGCGTGAACTTCAATTATAGATTGATATTAAAGTTGAACTTTTAACGGCACTTACTTGCTTCACTTTATCTTTTATTACTTATGCTTTGTTTTATATTTTCTTCTTCATAGACTTCAATGTTTTCACCAATTTCGTTGCCAAATTTAATATTTGGTTTGTTTATTTATTTGCTTTTCTTCCTCTTCTTTGCTTTATCTTGTTATACACACGCCGATGATATCATATATAATGCGTTGCAAATATAACGAACGAAGAGTTTTACTCGATGCGTTTTTAGCTTTCGTATCATCCGATAGCTGGGTAAGGAGAACTGTAAAACGATCCCAGCTGCCCAAGAAAGGCGTTTCTAGAAGGTTTTTTCCATTTTTTCAGGTTCGAAAGTGGATCTTAATGCCGTTCTTTTCAAGCGTGAAAAAGTAGAGAATTCTCCAGGTGTTAACTTAGCGTAAATCAACAAATTAGATTATATGGGCGATAGGACATAATTAACTGTGAGGGCTGGAGCAGTACATAAGAGTTCGCGTGTTTTTGACTAAATGAGGTTGAAGAACAAAAATTGTTTTTTTTCTCTTCATTTCTCCAAGAACTCATTCCAAGGATAGGAATATTGGTTTGATGATTAAAAATTGTATAATGCTTTCAGGCCGAAATGCTTGATTTTTCTGAAAAAATTTATAGTTGAGTCAGATTGATATTTTCTTTTAATATAACCTATGATATAGAGGATGTCCCCTGTATGTGATAGTCAGAGAGAAGCGGAAAATGAGAAAAAGAAATATGGAGCTGATGCGGCCTAATCGATGTGTGCCTGATCGGCGAGTGTTAGACATTAACCGGTTGTTTGGAAAACTGTTATGATTTTGTAGATGAGATGAAATGCTTTTACCCATCCGTCAAGTTATTCGGTATCAAATGCACTCGTGGCTTTTTGAAAAATAATTAATTATATAAATAAAACTTATTACTGAATATCGAAGCGAATGATATCACAGTCATTCTTACGAGTGTTTGAGTCTGTCGAAAGATCACAATCACAAGACAATATCGCCTTGTGAATCGGTCGGGTTGTCGCTAATTGCCTTAACCAAAATTGTTTCCCCGCGAATTTGCTTATATTAAATTCAAAGTAATTAATGATATGCACACACATAAATTTTAGCAATTTGTTTCTATTTTTATACAGAGAACAAAGTTCTAACTCAATAACACGAAGCCATTTTATCATAGTTTGTTTCGTATTAAAAACTTTCCGTATGCATATTGCACAAAGCATAGCACCTTTCAAGAAAAGAGTTTGACGATATCTATCAAAACGACTTCTGGCACATCATCGCAGATGGCGAGTTAGCAGCAACAAAATTGCACAAATTTCGAATCGAAATGATTTTCATTGTTGATTACAACCAACTTGGAAATATGAAAAATCGAATTAGGAGGGTTGTGTGATATATATTTATTAAAACTAGAGGGACCATCAAATTTACCTTTTTTTATAAAATAGTCCAAGTCGCTAGTGCTTGTCCTACTTATATATATTATTATAATCGATAATAGAAGAATAATAATGTACGATTTATATTAAGTTATAGCGCTATGTGGTAAACCGTGGGCATGCATATCTATCGTCTGGATCGGAAATATATATATATTTGACAGTTACAGGAAATATATACCTATGTATATATGAGAATGTATACATTGTCTAGATATAAATATCCGCGCTCACTAATTTAGTGTATTTTTGCGAGGAAATTGAATGGATTGAGCTTAATTCCTGAGTTTTTGGCCAGATACGTTGCATAAAAAAGTCAAATAAAAAAAAATTGTTTTTAAATTGAAATTATGCAGTTTATCTGCTGCATATCGAACAGCGAATAAAAAAATTTAGGCTGTACTTTAGTCGCAAATCACCCATGCAAGGAGATAAAAGATTGGTAAAAAAAAAGAGTAAAAAAATTGTATGCGGCTGTGAGCGAATCTTTCATACCCATCTTCGTTATATCACAAAAGATGCAAATAAGGCAAAATTTAAATATTTATAACGTGTAACATTGAGTGGGCGTGGCTGGCTTTCGCTATTTTTACAGAATAAAAAAGCAAACTGTTGCCACGTGTACAATGTAGCTTATGAGCAAATAATACGGAAACCAAAGGTACTCTGAGTTTTTGCCGCATTGTACGCACGTATGGTTTGTCCCTATTTGAAATTCTTTTGTAGGCGATATCTTCATTTTTGTGAACGGGACTGCGTTTACCATAGATCCTACGCAGACGAACAGATGGACATACTTAAGCGCGTTTCGAATTTGACATTGGTCAAGAATGCATAGATTTTATGGTGTTTTTGAAATTTTCTTCTGGGTGTTAGAAAGATTTTTGGCAAAAAGATGCAATTTTGATCCACTATAGTATTGGATAGGTTAGGTCACTTCGTTCCGTCTTTGTACAGCGAGCCAATTTTAATTTGACGCCAATAGCTTTATTTTTGTAACGAGGAGAGTATTTACAACAAATATTACGCAGAGGGACCGAAGGATAGGCGGACATATATATCTCTGTTAGTGTTGCAAATGTTTTCATAAAATGAACATACACATAATCTCTCGGCTGTGTGTAAAAACAATTTTAGCTTTTTATTATGTTTTTTTTTTTTTGATGCGAACAATCAATTTTTTTAACCCTATATTTGCCGTTTTTCATCCGACCACCTTGCAGCAGATTCCTGGCCTTCTTTTGAATGCGCGCTTGTAGATTAACATCATACTTTTGGTCCGGATTAGTGAACATATCGGATTATATTATGTCATATTGTTATGCAAAGTTCGCCATACGCTCTTCAAGTTTTGAGAATACAATAATATTTTTTAACCAGTCTTCCCAATTAGCCCATGTATAACACGCATTGTGTTATCGAAGTAGAACTCAATGGCTTCACGGTTAGCAAGACCTTGGATTTTTTCTTTCATTATTTTAAACTTTCTTAACAACGGTTCAAAGCAAATGTTCATGTTAATCATCCAGCTCCTTAGCATCGGCTAAACTACGGACAATTAACACAACGAATTGTTTACTTTTTTTTTTTTTAGTTTTTTGACACAACTGAGACTACTACGTGCGCTAACCTCTTGTTTTCGTGATCTTATATAAGTTCTTTCCAAACACTCCTGTAGAGCTTATGTAACGGGTTGCTGTGATTTTAAGTAATTCATTATTATTTGCATTACGTGGCTTCCATTTTCCGAAGACTTGGTCGTCCAAAGAATTAAAATTCTATGCACCACAAACTTTGTATTTTTCTTCGTGGACAAATATAAGTAGCTTGGTTTGCTTTATCAAAAAGAAAAAACGCACACCAAACACCTGTTGGAATTATTTGTTTTTGCTATTCTGGTCAAGGACTAGTAAATACAAAGAAAATTACGCGCAATTTGCAGCGTCATTATCTCAATTCCATTGATATCAAAAGAAATAAAAATGCATTGAAATTTTTTGTAGTGTATGTGCGTCTAGAAAACATTGATATATAGTAACAACACTATACTGGGCCACGATCCACTATTAAATACCATCCCACATTTATTCATACGATAACTTTTCCAAATAGCCGTCATATGGGAAATGATCGAAAAATTGATCCGGTTCAATAGCGCCCCTCCTTGGGCCAAAACACATTAGTGTACCAAACTTCATTAAAACATCTCAACAATTGCGACCTGTAGATTCAACGTAATAAAACAAGTCGGACAGGCGGACGGAAAAGCTTGGATCAATTCAGAAAATGATTGTCAATTCGACGGCGTAATAAAATTTGGGTCCATGTTAAGACCTCTTGTTGCATAAAAACGCGCTTAAACTTAACATACCCTTGTATCGCAAGTAGAGTACGACATAAAAAGTCTAGAATTAATCGCAAATAATGAAAGTTTTAGAAG